GTGTATCCTGAAGTAGGCACGTGGGGCTGTTTTAATGCGAGTGGGTAAGAGCAGTGCAGAGTCAACAGGACAGTGATCAAGTGGGTGCTTCAGGCTCACAGCTGTGGCCCGCGCTGCGCTCTGGACAGTGGTGTGGTGGGCTCAGCTTGCTCCTGGGTCTGAGAACGCAGTGCCTGGCCCAGAGGGACATTGCTACCCTGCACTGGTGATGGGCTTGGGGCAGCTCGGGCAGCCTCGGTGAGGGGTCCCTCAGGCACACGTGTCCCAGCTTCTCCTCGGCCCTCACTGTGGCCCCAGCTCCTGGGTGCTGGCTCAGAGCTGCTCTTTCTGCCACGCATAAGATGGCCACGTTGGAGGGAGGGCGACCGTGGGCTCTCCTGACGCTGTGGCTGTCTGGGCTCCAGGTGAGCAGAGTCTCCTTCTCTGAGAGCTGCTGTCTGCCCAGGCCAGAGCTGCATCCGAGGGCAGGAATGCCCCAGCAACTCCTCAGCCTTCAGACTGTGGGCACCTTCTTCATGCAGACTCCCCAGCAGTGTCCCAGCACCACACTTGTGACTTTGTTGTCTCATCTCGGGCCAGGCAGCAGCCACCAGGGGATGTGTCCCTGTAAGCAGTTGCTCCGAGGAAGCAGATCTGACCGTCAATGTCCTGCAAAAGAGAACAGTGAAAAAGATACAAGATTCTGTTGTGGTGACAGTGTCTCCCTCCCTCAGGGAGGTGGCGGTCACGAGCATGCCGCAGCTGGGTTGGTGCCAACCAGGGACAGAGGAGCTGATATTGATTGGCATGTGTCCTCTTCTCTTGTTCTGTAGTTAATTCAGAAATAAACCTGTTGTTTTAAAGGCCAGGAATAGGAGAGGAAAGCAGTAAGACCCCCCTTTAGCTGCCCTGAGAGGTGGGTCAGGGAGGCCTGGCCAGGAGGATGGGCCTTGCACAGCTCCAGTGGGAGGCGCTTCCCAGGGCAATGCCTCTCCTGGTCTCTTCAGCAGCTTCATTCCTTCCTCGATGCAAATATTTATTCCAGAAATACGTGTTGAGTGCCTGCGAGCACCAGCACTGGGATTGTGCTAGGATTGCAAAAACACAGGGCATTAGACAGGGAAGTCCCTGTCCTCAGGGCACTTAGCATCTCCTGGGAGAGATGATGACATGTAACAGAATGAACCTGTGACAAACATGGCTCAGTGTGAGGTACCCAGGAAGCAAGGAGTTGCTTCTCAGCAGACAGTGAGAGGAAAATGGTATTTCAAAATTGGTCACTCTCAAAAAAAAAAAAAAAAACAAAATTGGTCGCGTAGGGTGGATGGGAGCGGGAAACGTCTGGAATCGGGGAGTGTAGCAGAAGCTGCTTTTGCAGTCCTGGCGCAGAGGGAACTGAGGCGTGATGGTGGGAGTTGTGCACACGTGAGCTGCGTTCAGGGAACAGGGCGTTGGGAGCTGCCGTGTGCAGTAGGGACTGGGGAGAACCCCTTCGTGGACGTCTGAGCTGGGACCTGAGTGAAGGGAAGGGGGGCCGGTGACCATCCAGGGAGAGAAAGCCCTGGGTAGAGGGAGCAGTAACGTTTTACCTGTAGGGCTCTCCTCATCTCAGAGTGATTCACTGGGTCAGCGTTCAACACCAGCGTGAACCCACGTGTCACTTCACACAGGTAGGGCAGGTCACACGCAGAGGTAATTAC